AGGTTTGGCCCAGCCCAGGGGCATTGTTAGGGGGTGCCTGGCCCCTCCTTAAATTTGTGGGAAGCTCCTCCCTAAATCCCTCATGGCTCCACCTCCATAGATTGTGACAATGGAGGCCCTTCCCCGTGAGGTCATTGGTTCCTCCTTATGATGTCACTGGGCCCTGGTTCTTTTAAGGACCTAGCATAGCAATGCCTCTGGCCCAGCCCCCCCCCCCCCCCCGGGAAATTGGAAAGTCTATGCCCTTGAGTCCAGTAGCACCTTTAAGACCAACAAATAGGTAACTGAAAACTTCATGGTGTAGTCGTAACATCCCTTTAAGCCTCTATTAATGGGATGGGTTTTTTTATCTCTAGCAACCTTAAAGCCGGGTATGAGACATGACTTTATACAGGCAACTCTACCCAGTGTAAAAGATAGTGGTTCATAGAAGACCACCAGTACACTACTTTCTTTGGGATGGGGGAGGGACCTCATAACACTCTGGTGTTTAGTAAAGGTACAGGCTTGGCACATGGACAAACATTTTCAAGCTTGCCATTAAAGACCGCAATTAGCAATCAAGTGCCATCAGCATTTTTTCAGGAAGGCTGGAAGAAGTTACTTAATTTATGCTAACTGAATGGATTACTCAGCTGTTTTAGGAATACAAATTGCAGAGCAGCCTCACTGGCATGTATAGAAGTATTCTGGAATAAATGGTATAATATGGAACACAGTTGTAGGAACCCATTTTTCCTGGTCGTATTTATGATAGCGGTTAAAGCTTAGGCTGATGGTGTGCACTGTGAAGAAAATCATTTCAGCCTTCCTGAAATCCGGTGTTTAGCTTCCTAATGTGGCATTCAGTTTTGGGCAACAACTTTGTCTAGTGGCTGTAAAGCCACATTAAATTTTTTGCTCCGTTATAAATCTCACTAAGCAGGCTACTCTAATACCAGAGATAAACTTTATTTGAAAGCTCATTAAAAACGAAAAAAAATTAAAAATTTGTATTGCATCTTTCACACCTGGGGTAAGACATAAAAAGAATGAAGAAACTTATACATTACAGTACTCAAACATGCAACATCTCTGAGAAACAATATAGTCCAAGAGCTTCCCCCAGTTTCATGTTGCTGCTACATTGTCAGTTGGAGTGTCTTGCCAGGAGGAATGGGGCAGGGCAGGGCTTAAACACTTTGTTCTGCTTCTCCCTTTGCTCAGCACAGAAAGCTCTAGCAGTTAAACACGTACATTAACGAGGATACCTGTGCAGGCCCAGCCTGACTCCCTCCCTCCTTCCACAAAACTGGGACTTTGTTCTCAGGTATCAGAACAGTTATTTCAAAACAAATGGAGGGACAAGTCCCTCCTCTAGAGAAGCTTTAGGGAAGAAGATGGACAATACTTATCCACTGGCCAGCAGCTTTCCTGATGTGGCCACTGAACAGGAAGACGTGACAATTTGGACCTACAATGGGTTGATGCAAGAAGGACGGTGACAAGACATTGTTCTACCTTATATATATTTTTCCCAGATAGAAGGAAGGATTCCAGTACTTAAGCTGTTTTTGAGGCACATGGGGGGAGGGGGGCAGGTCAGGAAACAGCCTGTTCCTGGGAGTTATTCCCCAGCGAGTTGGCCTCATGCTTGAACAGATAAAGTCAGCAAAGCCGGACTTTGTTATTATGTGCTCTGTGCAGTCAAAGCCCAGGCAGGCAAAATGCACTACAAGAGTGGGAGCTACACAGGAATCATGTGCTCCTACAGCCAGTCCTCATGTGCTATGCAGCTGAGATCCAGAAATTCAAACTATGAAACAACACTTATTTAATTTTTTTTTATTTTACCATTTAAGGGGGGTACAGAATGAAAAGAAACAACACTTATTAAAGCACGACTGTCTCAGCATGGTTAGGTCTGTGTACTAAATGGCCTAAATGCTCCACAAAGTCTGCTTCAGAAATAAAAGTATGAACAATAGCATAGAATGAAAAAGAGAAAAAATTCTGTTGCTAGGAATTTAATATACAAATAGACATTAGAGTTCTGATATTTACTCATATACATTGTGTAACTGAAAAAAATCAGTGGTTGCACATAAATGGTGATTTTACTAGCTTTTAAATACTCCCCCACCTATATACATTTTCCACTTTGGTATCAGGAAGAAAAGGTTCTGGAACAGGGGATCCTCCAACTTATATGTTGCTCCATGGTGACACACAGCTCCTGCTTTTCCTTTGTGGAAGCTCTGAGCAGTTTAAAAGGGACTTCCAAACAGGTATGAATCAAGGCACTGAGTACATGAATCAAAGCACATCAGGTAACATGATGTATCTCAGTCTATTCTCTGAGCCTTAGTGCTATGAGAGGCTTGGGAAGAGGTGAGAGCATATGCTGAAAAAAAGTAGCTAGAATACACTATATAGGATCATGGGGATAAATACATTTCTAATAAGGCATCACCTTCCATGTGAAGAAACCCAGAAGTTGAGTAACAGAACTTAGGAAGGCTTGATTGTGATATGTTTTGTGTTATGCTCATAACATTTTATGGATCTTATTGTTTTATTTATTAAATTATATTTACTAGGCCATCCTTTCCTACAAGTAGGGCTCAGGGTGGCTTACGACATAATAGAATACAATAAATAATTTAAATTAAAACCAACATTAAAACTACTCAGAAACAGATCAGTAATTAAAATATGCAGTCCAAGATTGCGGGGAAAATTGAGCTCCCCAGCCTTCGGGGGGGGGGGGGGGGTGCAGCAAGGAATGGGGAGAGTATATGAGATATCATACTGTCCCATTACTGTCCTCAGCCAAATACCTGGCGGAACATCTCTGCCTTACATGACCTGTGGAAAGGTAGTAATTCCTGCAGGGCATGGATTTTTTTCCAGCAGAGAGTTCCACCAGTGCAGAAATGCCTAGCAAAACAGTTCTATTTCATCCTCACCCATCACTCTAGGCCAGCAGTTATAGCAAAGCTTTTACCAGAGTCCCAGGTGACCTGAGGACAGAGAAAAGCCAGGCACCAGGCCAAGACATCAGCATTAATCTTTTCATATCATACTCCTGAAAAGCTGTAAATACTGGAAAGCTGTAAATTACTAACCTTCTCACTTGGACTTTGAGATTAATTTTAGAGTTGATGGGGCAGGAGACCACTGTCCTGATGCCTCTAGAGTGACCATGAACCTCAAGGCTAGAGTTTGAAGTATAGCACTTCCCAACTGCTTGCAGTAGATGTGCTATATGCTACCCTGCCCCCCCCCAAAAAAAAAGTTGACAAGAGATGCATGGGAGTAGTAGCATATAGGGATTTGCTGGTAGTATTTGTCACATTATACATTTCTGTGATTGTATTGCTTCTTACCTAGAGTGTCCCTGGAACTGCAACAGTAGAATTCCATAACTGGAATCATACCTTTGGCTTAAGGATCCTGGATATATACAGCCATTAGCATTCTTACCCCCTGACAATGAATCCCAATGACAATGAACCCCAACATCATCTCTGAGCCATTATCCATTTAGCCAGCGCTCTTCTTAAGGCAATGGCAACTTGTAAACAAATAGATTTCCAACCATACAAACTTCCAGTTACTACAGAAGTGGCTACATTCCTTTTTCATCACAGAGGAAAGCCAAAGAATGTAGAATGAAGTCATCTATACCAGTAGAGAGAGATACATAGACAAGGTGTGTTTTTATTGATTTTAACACTGTTTTTAACTTTGTTGTACATCACCCAGAGCCTTGTGTATACAGGGATTGGGTGATTTATAAATCCAAAGCATAAATATAAATAAAAGTCTGATCACTTGTGGAGTTTCATTCCTGAAAGACACATGGTTCAACATCCACACACCACAGTGTGAAGCAGGAATGAAAAAAGTAAAACTGCTTATTGCTTCTCCACTGGTGGCTGACAACACAATCACACAGGTAGGCTGTTGCAAAACCTGATTGTTCACACAGATAGAAGAAGAAGCTGCACGAAGAATCCTCAGATACGCAAAGTATTTGTAAAAAGATACCTCATCATTCAGCATGCTTTATATACTGGACTTGGTTATCCCAGGTGTTTATTGTGAACCTTCAGTGGAACTCCAGTTGCATAAAACAAGAGACCAGTTCCCATCAAATACTTATGTTGATACAGCGTAACTAATACTTAAGTGTCCATAAATTCCATACAGTTAATGACCCCAGGCAGCATCATACCATGTGGAAGTATCTTGTTTAGTAATTGTTATGTCAATAATAACTTACTCCTCTGGGAAAGCCTGCTTCTTACCACAGCAACAGGTACAAAGACCAAGAACTGGAACTATTAAGGGTGAGTCATGGCAATGAGGGCATGATTAAGGAATGATAGCGGTTCTTTATCCATGTAGACTGAGTACTAATTTTTATTTCAAAGGTGTGTCTTACCAAATGTCCCAAGTTCACCCCTAACAAGGAAAGGAAAACATACTTGAATTTACAGATTTCCTCCTACTCTAACAGTAACTCCTCTTTCAAGACAAAATGTAAGAGCTCAAGTTTGGGAATCCAAAGACTCCTATGTTCACTTGAAAGCATTTCCTAGAGATGATTTTGGGAGCGCAAGTTGTGCCAGTACCACTTTAGATCTCTCAGTCAGTAAGGTGAAGTGAGGTAATCCACTCATGAAGAAACACAGATTAATCACTTATGGCACAACTGTTAATAATTACCACAGTGCAGGTAAAAGCCAAATTTTGGCTATGGTGATATGTGCACATAACGTGGTCTGGTGGTTCTTCAGATCATTAGTACAAGCCCATGAAAACAGACTAGACTCCAAGAGTCTCGGGCATCTAACACACAGGTTCCATACTGCTCCCTCCACTGGGAAGATTAGCTTTATCTAGAGTAATCCATGGAGCCATCAATCTTAATTACAGGCTAGCTCATAAAGCACAGTCACCTGATATGACCCTTGCAGATCTTATTCCCTCCATTAGACAGACGGTTCTTCAGTTCACGAGACAAGCACTCCACACAATGTTAAGGTCACCAGCAGGGTGCCAGCTTGGCTTCCTGAACTGCTCCCCACACCACTCAGTGCCATTTTGAAAGGGAAGAAAAAATCAAATGGAAGTTTCCAGTAGGCTCTGGGCTGGCTACGTGGTGGCTCTGGCCACTTGGTGACATCGGTGAAGGCAACTGTAGTCGTCAGTGGCAACATGTTCATATACGTGCCTAGGGACTAAAAGGAGGGGGGGAAATCTTAGGATCCACAGGACCTTGCCCAGTTCCTTCCTTAGAACCTGTTTATCTGGGGACACATGAATGAAGGAGTAAACTGCTCAGTGTCTTCCTTACTCCCCAACTGACCGTAAATCAAAGATTGTTCAGACAGACATTTAACAGGAAATGGGGGCCTTTGTTTAAGAAAGTGGACCGTGACAGAAGCTTTTTGTGATTATCATTTGTCATTACTGGTCAGAATGGGGGGGGGCACTTTATACCAAAGGGAACTGAAGGGAACAGTGGTTGTCCCCCTTACCTTGCACAAACATCTGCTCCTTCATCTTACCAAGACTGCCTTCTTTTGGGGAAGCAGGAACAGGGGCAGAAGGGAAACATAATGACAGGCAATGAGCCTAGAGTAAGTCTCAGGGCCTTCAGACACATAGTTGTCAGGTGCCTCCTGTTCTACCTTAATGGCTGTGAGGCCTGAGACTGGCCTCCCTTGCAAGTCCTGCAGTGGCACCAGAGACCCATTGTGTCCAGGGCTGGCATTGCACTATGCTAGAAATTGGCTTCTTCCACTTCCTACCAATAGCACATATTACTTTGGGCTAGTACTTACTATATCTGTTTAATAAGATTTCTACAGTCTTCCTTCATCATCCCCTTCAACTGGAACAGGTTTGTCCATACATCCTGCCTAAAAATCTGCTTAAATACTAGACTTCTAATTTTCCATATGAAACCCTGTAAAACTAAGAGGTGGGGAAACTGAGAAACAACACCCCCTTGCCAGAGTCTTGATGACTCACCTTCAGAGGCTTACAGATATAAAGATACCGGGCTCCCAGAATCTGAGCTTGCGGGTTAGACAGGAGGCCCACTTGGGCCCATATCACTTGGATCTCCAAGGAAATAGGAATCATACAACGCCCATCCTAGGAAGGAAAATAAAAGGTAACTTTAAGGGCAATCATTAATCAGGTAAGAGAAGTGACAAGAGAAGGCCCAGAATTACATGTTGCAACAGCTATGTTCTAGTGCAGAGCAATACATTTATTTACAGCTAAATGAGGTTTTGTAGGTGTATTAGGGACTGTACTAGACAAAACACAAACATTCTCTACCTTAATACCACTGGATATTCCAGAGGGGTAGCCCTTACGTGTAACTAAGTATGAATATGTATACATACATCTCTTATGGATATATACATGCTTCTGATGAAGCAAGCTCCAACTCACAAAAACTTATGCTGGAATAAGTTTTGTTAGCCTTTAAGGGCTCACTGGACGTCTGTTTTATTTTACTGGAGAGAAGGATTTTGCCTACACAGCAGACAGTGCCCACTCACCTTTCAGATATTGTGGTATGGCCAATGAATGGAATGCACATATGAAACCTGCTGCCCTTTCACTGTATTACCTGCATGGTGCATCTTTGGGTGAAGATGCTGTTCCATTCTCCTGGCTGGCTTGCATCAGCATTGCCAGTTATGGCCAACCTCCCTGGGTTATGTGGCCCTTGGAAGGCTCGATACACACTCTCCTGCAAGTGGCTACAGTTTGCTTCCTCCAGCTTAACGGATGCACTAGAGATAAGACAGAAACAGAGAGAGACCATGTTGTCGGAAGTCTCAGTGAAACTCAATTTCCATATAGAAACACTGTCTAGAAGAATGATCATATGGAGTCCTATCAGCACACAAGATCATACAGATGAGATTCTGTATCATTAAGCTTCTGATCCTTTGCAATCGAACTCATAGGTCACTGAACTGAAGCATTCATAATTCAGTCCTTCAATGAAAGCACAGCTTATGAAGCAAGAGAGAGACAACCTCTTGTCAAATGCTCATGTGCCAAGAAGGGAACAGAAAGCCATGGTTTGCTAAGTCAGGCTATGAAATCTGGACAGAAGATGTGAGCATGTAAGATAATAGGAGAAGCGTTACTTGAACTGGCAGGCTGTCCTCATGTTCTCTCTAAACAGTATCCTGTATCTCTTCTCTGAGCATTGTCCATTATCTTGAGTCTGCAAAATGGTTACCTGAAGTAAGGGGAAGGGTCAAGAAACTAAACAAGAAGGTAACAGAAACCCACCCTGACCTGGCATGCCTAATCTCGTCAGATTTTGGAAGCTAAGTAGGGCCAACCCATGCAAGTATTTGAATGCGAGACCTCCAAAGAATACCAGGGTTGGGAGGCAGAGGCAGGCTATCAAGCCACTTCTCTGAACATCCTCCATGCCCCAGTAGGAGTCGTCAGAGGTCACCATGCACACACAAAATGCAAAAAACCCCAGAGAAACTCTGTAGAGCAATCATCTACAACCCATCCTGGACAATGATACTTCTTTCTCACATGCCTTGGCTGGCAGGCATCTCTTTGCTTACAAGCAGCCCCCTTGTTTAAAAACTGATCCGCAGTAACAGATGACTAGCAGATATACAAGGCCTAGGACCAAATTCCGCAATAAACAGCTGCCAACTCTGACCCTACATTCAGTCAAGCAACACTGTTACAAATCTAGTAACATCAGTGGCTTATTTAGCCCCTGTTTTATATCCAATTAGCCTGATACCTGTGCTTTGCTACAGTATTTAACTTCTGTAAATCCAGTTATAATACTGCTGATGTAAAGTTTGAAATGTAACATTTGTTGCAAGAATTCTAATGGAGAAGACTGTACTGTAAAAAATGAAGTGAGATATACGTACTTTTTTCTCTCTACTGAAGGACCTCTCTGTAGACTGCTCATGGCTTTAAGCTCCCTGCAACTGCTGCTGCACCTGACAGACAACCGCATGTTAGGTGTAGGAGGTGGGGGGAGTGTGTTGGAACCATCAGAGAGGCTGGGCCAGTAGCATCGCTAAGGTGACCCTGCTGCGGTGGCGTCCCTGATAGATTAAAGTACCCTGGTCCTGCTCCTACACCTGACAGACATCCGCCTGTCTGGTGTTGGGGGGATTATGTGTAAAGGCATCAGAGAGGCTGGGCCTGCAGCAGGGCTAAGGCAATCTTGCTGAGCAAACCACCCCGGTGGCTGTAAGCATCCCTCCTCCTCTCCTACACCTGACAGGCAGCTGCCCGTCCAGTGTAGGAGGGGGAGGAGTATTAGAAGCCACTGTGGAGGCGGGGCTGGCAGGATCACTAAGGCATTACTGCTGGGGCAGGCTTCCTCGTGGCTTTAAGCACCCTGCAACTGCTCCTGCACCTGACAGACAACTGCCTGTCAGGTGTAGGAGGGGAAGCATGTTCGAAGCCATAGGGAGGCTGGGCCAGCAGCTTTGTTTCACCTCACAGGTGGTTGACCACTCCTGATTTCCTCAACTGTCATTAGCTCTCTGTAGTCCCCCCCTGTAACTGTTGTTTTTACCTCAGAACACTGAGCTCTGCAGCTGACCAATCACAGAGTGTGGGGGGGTGCAAGGATGCAGCAGCCTGGCAGCCACATAGGAATCATTTTACCCCTTTTGACCCTTTAGGGGTTGAATTTCTAAAAATCCCTTCTTAGTGAGCAACTATGCCATGGTAAAAGTGCTCCCCCTGAAATTCGTGTTTCTAGGTCCAGCAGTTTGGCCTGGGCATTGATTATACAGTGAGGGGACTTTCTATATATATCATATATATGATAAACGTAATCATCTACTTATCCATATAAGACAAACAGATCAGCCTCTGCACATAAGAATAAATGGATATAATATAAAATAAAACATTTGTCAAACCAGTGAGCTCAAAAATCAGAAAGTGGCAAAACAGACCTTAAAAAATAATGCCAGACAAGGAGCTTTAGAAAAAACAGACAAGCACACTATAATATCTTGGCAGTTTAACGTTCCTTTTGCAGATCCTTTTGTAACTGAACTGAATTAAACTCTCTACACGTACCTGATCCTTCACCAGGTCCAAACCTTTATTGTCAAAATCTGAGACCAAAGAACCAAAATAGTATGTTTGCAACTAGTTACACCAGCTATAGCTAAGAGACATTAACTTCTTGTTCGCATTTGTTGGCAAGAATACTAATTTATTTATTATTTATTTATTTAATTCCATTTCTACCCCGCCCTCCCCGCACGCAGGCTCAGGGTGGCTTACAAGGCACAAGTGCTATAAAACCAAATACATTAAAAACAGCATAAATTACAACTTACAAGATACATGGAGGACTAAAATTACATTTTCTCCATTACATGACAGGAAGAGGTCTGAGATTGAAATCAGAAGGGAGAGGGGCGGCCTAAGCCGTGTTGTTCCAATTTCTCATAGGCCTACCCTGACAGTCCTGCTTCCGCATACATGCGGTGGTGGTAGTGGCGGCGGCGGCCCCTATTCAAAAGCCTGGCGGAAGAGCTCCGTCTCACAGGCTCTGCGGAACTGTAAAAGGTCCCGCAGAGCCCTGATCTCCTCTGGGAGCTCATTCCACCAGATAGGGGCCGCCACCGAAAAGGACCTGGCCCTTGTGGTAGCTAGCCTGGCCTCTTTTGGGCCCGGGGTCACTAAACGGTGCTGTGACCCCGACCGAAGTGCTCTTTGGGGCCTATATGGGGAAAGGCGGTCCCTCAGGTATGTAATACTGTTATTCAAGCCTGAGCGTACAGTAATTCTAGACAGCAGTTGTAGCCTCGGTTCTATATGAATCCATGTAATCATCTGAAGAATAACACAAAGACCTCTAAAAAATCCACCCTATGGCATTTGTGGGGCAGGACATGGGGAAACTAATAGCCCTCTAAAGAAACAATTGTCTAAAGCCTGTAACCACACCACAGGGCAAAGGTAAAGTATAGTCCTAGAAAGGATACGTATTGCTGAGTGCCATTGCATAAAGCTACTAGCGGTACTCCACTTATATATCCAGGATTCCCACTTCTCCATTTGGTGAAAGAATGGTTTTTATTCTGCAAGAAATAAAATGGAAGGAAACAACATTATCAGGGATATCATTCTCTGCACAGACTGTGGTCTGCTGTCATTAGTAAAGGGCTAATGGCCAGGGATTGAAATGCCAAAGAAAGGGAAGCTGACTCCATTTATGCATGAGCCAAGTCCATGCTTTTATTGCCATATAATAGTATTTTTGAAGTCCCAATAAATTTAGTTTACTTAGTCACCAGCACAAAAGGTGAGCTGCAGACCATCTGGGGGAATCACTGCATAAGTGAATGCATTGGAAATACTAAAGAACAATATTGGCCATAACTACAGGTAACCACCCTTGCATGCCAGAGCCACTCCCATGTGATATTTAAAGGCAACAAGAATGGCAAGAAACCATTTGCAGATAAACACTGAGGAAGATTTGCAAGGAACTTTTTCCCTAAAGAGGAGAAAAGGAGGAAAAAGTAATAATGTGATGTAGGTGGGCAAGGCAATACAGTACTTCACTAGGCAGGTAAAAATATTGCAGCAAAGAAGTTAGAGACAAAGCAGAGAAAAGCATTTTTTAATTGCAATGCATACAATGGACTAGTTTTATAGCTTGAGAATTTCATTCCAGGTTAACATCCATTTTTAGAGACACTGGCTGCCTACTCACCCATTGTATCAGATTGACTCACAGGCACTCACACAAAAGGTAAAAATGTACTAGGCATGATAAGGCAAGAACAGCATTTAACCTGCTCACTATCTTGGAATTCTTTCATATGAAAGGACTGATTATGATCACACCACAATCCCACAAAGTGGATTACCACATAGTTAGAAACTGAGAAACTGAAGGAACTCCAGCCACTGCTAGTACCAATCACCTAGATGGGAAATTTTCTCAACTGTCTGTCAATGCTTACAAAAATCTATCTTACCTTTAGAAATGTCTGGCATTATGTTTTAAAGCACTGACACTTTTTCCTTTTGCAGTTCTCATCAGATTGATATGTGGAACAGAAAGCCCTCCTACACTATTATATCTAGAAAATGTTTCCACATCTCATCAACCTGAGACTTATTGAAGAGAAACTCAGCTTATCTAGACTTATACAGTCCTTTCAACTCTAAGAACACATGATCAAAAAATCCCATTCCAGCCCTGACCTGGATAGCCCAGGCAAGCCCAATCTCATCAGATCTCGAAAGCTAAGCAGGATTGACTCTGGCATGTACTTGTATGGGAGACATCCTTGAAATACCAGAGGTGGGAGGCAGGGGCAGGCTTTATTCAGCCACCTCTCTGAATATTCTCCAGGCCCACAGTAGGGATCAGTCACCAGAGGTCGCCATGACTTCCAGGTGCACTCACATGCACATATGAAAAATACACACACACAAAAAAAAAAACCCACCAAAAAATAATAAAATCCCACTCTATACCAGATCACTTATCTAATTTTACAGCATCAGCACCCCTGTTGTCCACAAAAACAGTACACTGATAATGGATCAACAGGGTTCAGAGCTGAGAATCCAGTTGCATGTTATTGCCCCAACTTCTATACTACCAAACTCCCCCTTCTTCCCTAGTCCAAGGATGCATGCAAGAAGTGGTACAAACCCAAAAGCTCAGAGAAAAACGCTGTTGTAGTATGGACTTTGGGTTTCCATATATGTTGTCCACTTTAAACTGGACAGAAATATTCTGAATTCCATGGATCCCATTGAATTCCACTTCATAGAGCACCTAGAAGCACGACAAACCATCAGAGAGAGTAAGTATACATTGCAACAGGTCACAGTCCAGCTCTCCACTGTTCTGCTGATGAGGTGTCTGTTGAACTAATGAGATACCTCAGAAACAACATTGTAGCACGTACTGCCATTCAGTATGGGAGACGCAGGCACTGTGACAGGAATTATCTTGACCTGGAAACAACAAAGCATATTTTCAGTTTTCAATGAGGAGTATCTTCTTTTCAAGTACTCTGTTCTATCCATTAAAATCCAGGGGCTTTTCCCCGCTTCCAAACCACACCCCATATTTCCCATTCCCTTGCTTGGCACTTTTCTATTTTCCATATGGTCTCTGATTGGTAACCGTGGTGAAATATGACTGAGTTCAACTTGACTCAAAATTGCCACTCTGCCATGAAAGCTATCTGGGTGATCATGGGCCAGCCATACACTCTCAGCCTAATCTATCTCACAGAGGTACAGAGAAGATGAAATGGAGAAGTGAGAAATTTTGTAAGCCACTTTGAGTCCCCATCAGGGAGAAAAGAGAGGTGTAAATGAAAAAAATAAAAGTTCAGAGCCCCTTAGCTCAGAAGAGAGTGGAATTAATACTCAGGAATTACTATTCCTGAAATAATCTTACCTGTAAGGGCTGGAAAACAGTTAAGTTGACTGGGACCTGAAACAGAAAAGAGAGAGATGCCTTATTATCTACACAGAAAAGGATTTTGCAGAACCCTGATTTCACACTGACAGCTTTGTCTTTTTTGTAATGTTCTCTTATATAAGGGAAGACAAAGCATGATTTAGGAATAGCCAATTTTTTTAAAAAAACAGAACTTCCCTCAGCCTGTAACAGTCCAGCAGAAACCAGTTCTTTCCTGACATTTTCTAAGTTATTGTCAGGCTTTGGCTGCCCCACACCCTTGGAATCTCTGTCGCCAGGTTTGGGGTATTTTGGTAGTCAGGACCTGATACTGGCAGGTCCTGACAGTTATTAAAAACATATAGGAAGAACTCACTGAAATGAGATTTTGTATCAAAACAAAGGTAGCAAGTACCCCTCAATTCTAAGGTCCTTAATCAATCTACAGTCATTACTTGCACTAACATTATTGTCAAGACTGCATCAAAATGGCAAAACAATGAAGTCAAAAGCAGACCAAAAAGTTGACACCTTCAGCACGCTGAAGTCACGGTAGTATGAAGCTGCATCCAGTGCAGGGTCAGTGGTACACTTGCTTGTCAGGTTAGTAAAGATGCGAATGCAACTTGTGCTTTTGCTCTCCAGAAAACCTAAGAAAGGAACAAATCACATAAATAGGGTGAGAACTGGAAGCAAGCAGCAAACATCAGCCTAGAAGCCACCTTCAGCCAAGAGGAAGGGGGGGGGGAGATAAATATTTTTATAAATTGTTACAACAGTAGATAGGTAAAGGTTTCCCTTGCTCGAAAGCCAGTCAAATCCGACTCTAGGGGCAGTGCTCATCTCCGTTTCCAAGCCGAAGAGCCAGCACTGTCCGAAGATGTTTCCCTGGACATGTGGCCAGCATGACTAGACACCGAGGTACACAGAACGCTGTTACCTTCCCATCGAAGCGGCACCTATTTATCTACTTGCAATTTTTTGCTTTCGAACTGCTAGGTTGGCAGGAGCTGGGGCCAGAGATAGGAGCTCACTCCATCACACGGCACTAGGGTCTCGAACTGCCAAGCTACAGAACTTCTGAGCCACCGTGGCCCACAACAGTAGATAGAGGTTCTCAAATACAATTGCTAAGTCATCTGTGGCAACCCAAAATTTTAGTTCAGTGATCAAAAGCTTCTTACACACAGGAGAAGAAAGTATTTTAACAGTTGCTGCCAAGATTAAGAAGCAAAGAGTGTTTCTTCTCTAATGGTGCTAGCCTGCATCTTGTGCTGGGATGCAGCGTTGTTGACACAGGTTGAAACAGAAACAATGCCTGCCAACACACAGGCACCTGCTGCTCCTCTCTTGTAAATCCCCCTTGTGGGCAAGAAAGGACACACTTTTCCTGTGTGAGGTAAGAAGCATCAGCAGCTACAAGTAACAACAACTGGTGATTGTAACATTTTCCTCTTTCCCTGTGTTACCCCTTTACATGTAACTTCTGTAGTGTTCTAAGGCGACATGCATTATGCTGACTCCTTGCCTTGCTTATTTGCACTGCCACCAAAGGTTCTTGACTAAGAAATTTTAGTTGGTCCCAAAGAACAGGATAGCTTAATTGTACATGGTAGAAAGACAGAATGGTCAGTGCGTGAGGGTGGCTCTGAGGTAAAAGGGGATCCTTTAAAATAAACAGTTGTTTTTCTTAAACATAAACAGTTTATTTATAACAACGTATTTGTTTCTGTATAGCTAATAAGCTTAATAGTTTCAGATAGGTACATAAGTGTAATGGTTCATTAAGTAGACCTAGCCACATAGGTTTATTTTCTCACTTGCCACTTAGGCTAATGACTTCCACATAGAACACAGATTTCTCTCACACTGTACAGCACCTCATTCAAGCTCCTTCCTCCATACACACTGTTCAGTACTAACCCACATGAAGCCTCTCTCTGAACAAAAACAGTCAAGTCTGTTCCCAAGGACACAGGTACCATCCAATCATAACACAGTTCACTCACTCATCCTGCCCCTTTCTTTCTTACTCCACAAGCCTACATTGTAGATCATAACAACAACATACATTTAAAACTCCACATTAAAACACAGAAATAAAACACGCATATTATTTTACATTTCAAAACATGATGAAGCCCAGACAAAATTTGTGGACCCCTGCTAACAGATATCAGAACATTGCTGAAGTCCCCATGCTCACCGGCAGGATTTTCATCACTGCAAAGTCTGCTGGCAAACATGCTTGCTGGCTGTTTCAGTACACTCAATACAGATGAAGCAGCAAAGTAAATCTGGATTGGATCCCCTACCTGAAATGAAATAGGAAAGATGAAAGATGGAATAGATTCCAGCAAAACAAGAATACACATTAAAGCAGAACTTCATTAGCCACTTTTCTACATAAAGGATGGGTTACTGTAAGCCACTAATAAAGCTTCATCACTCTGGGAAAATGAGACTTTACATGAAGGATGCAGATTAAAAGGGGGGGGGAATAACTTTCAGCCTTTTTATCTTGACTCTCTGAAGTAGTTCTCTCACCAACATGAATGCAGAAAAAATAGTTATCCATAGCAGACAGTCAACTCACCCGATAAAAGGAAGATGAAGATGGCTCAGTTTGTTCTGGCAAAATGAATGATGGCCTTCCATATTGTGCTGATAGTAGTGGTAAGTTTTCTTTTGTAATCACCTGTGGCTTTTGGAAATAGTTCAGTTTTGCTATATGTAGAAATAAGAAAAAAACCTCAAATGTATAGTAAAAGAGTTGAGAGATGTCTTGAGGCAAATTAGGCAGAGCTGCATGGCTTAGTCCTATAATCAAGGCCATATGGCATTAGGAAGTGACCAGTGGTTACAGTTCAAACCTTTGCTGGCACTTCAGCAACTAAAACAGAGAATGGAATCAGATAACCACAAAATAACTGGAATAAAAAACTCAAAATACAAAGTGATCGTTATTATACATGGTGTGGATGAATGTTCAGATGACGTACCTTTGGCAACTGCTTGTAAGATTTATATGGATATTTTTCAGCTTGTGGAGCCTAAGGATGTGGATAAGATCCTTAGATAGGTAAAATCAACCATCTGTGTTCTCAACCCTTGCCCTTCCTGGATGATAAAAACTGCCAAAGTTTTTATCATCCAGGGATGGATGAAGGTGAACAAGATGAAGCTTAATCCCAACAAGACAGGGGTTCTCTGGGTTAGTAGAAAGGCACACCTGGGACTCTAGAACTCTCCTTTGTTCTTTAAAGTCTTACATGGCTAGGGATTGGGGTATCTGAAGGACTATTTTCTCCCATACGCTCCTGCCTGGGAATTACGATCACAAGGAGAAGACTGTCCCATCTATTAAAGAAGCTTATTTGGTGGGCACACAAGAGAGGGCTTTTTTGGTGGCAAGCAACCCCACAATTATGCAACAACCTTGTCAGGGAAGTGCGCCTGGCGTCCCCCCTCCCACTGTTAATCTTCAGGAGACAGCCAAAGACGGTTTTATTTCGGGCTGCATTTTTTAACATGTATTTTATTTATCATTTTCAGTAACAAACAGACATACAATTATAAAGTATATGGTCTTGTACAACATATTTTTTGGAGTATACATTTATACATTTTTTCCCATCCAGCTGTCCATCTTTTGCCATCTTTTTTGAAACATCTTTTCATCTTTTCCTGCTAGTATCATATTTACTTTATCCATTTCTTTTATTTCCATCATTTTCATAATTAATTCTTCTCTATCTGGTATTTTATTCGACTTCCAACATTTTGCTATGAGAATTCTAGAAGTAGTAAGGACATATAATAACAAACATAAATCATTATGTTTAATCCCATTTGGTAACATATTGAGTAGGTATATTTCTGGTTCCAGCTTCAATTCTATTTCAGTTATCTCTAATATTAATTTTTTAACATTTTTCCAACATTTGGAGATCTTTTCACATCTTCACCATATGTGGTAATATGTTCCAATGTTTCTTTTACATCTCCAGCAGTTCCCTGAAACATTTTTATAACATTTAGCTATCTTATCTGGTGTCCAGTGCCACCTGTAGAACATTTTGATATTTTCCTTATATGTTGTAGCTCTTAATATTTTTATTGATTTCCACATTTTTACCCAGTTCTCTAAGTCTATGTTGTGCCCCAAACCTTTCACCCACGTTTTCATGCATGGTTTTATTATTTCATCTTGCATCTCATTATTAATAGAAAGTTATATAGTTTTTGTATCATTTTATCTGAAGATGTGGGAGCTGCGGTGGCTCAAGTGGTTAAGACGCTGAACTGCAGGCTGTGGAAGGTCAGTAGTTCAGCGGTTCAAGACCCGGGTGCCGCAAGACAGGGTGAGCTCCTGTTTCTAGTTCCAGCTCCTGCCAACCTAGCAGTTCGAAAGCAAGAAATTGCAAATAGATAAATAGGTACCACTTCGGTGGGAAGGTAACAGCGTTCCGTGCGCCTTGGTGTTTAGTCATGCCGGCCACATGACCACGGAAACGGCTTCGGACAGTGCTGGCTCTTCGGCTTTGAAACGGAGATGAGCACCGCAACCCTAGAGTCGGATTCGACTGGCTTTCGAGCAAGGGAACCTTTACCTTTTATATAGTTTTTGTATCATTTTATCTGAAGATGATAACCAAATTTTGTCCAACTCTGATTTAGTTATCGCAAAATTTCTTATTTTATCTTTGGTGAATCTTGATTTTAATTGCAATTTTTCCCAATTTGTAAGATTGATATTCAGATTGTAGTATTTCGAAGGGTTTCAGTTCATTTTTTTCTGTTAGCAGAGTTTCATAGGGAACACTTTTATTTTCAGTCAATAAAGTTGGTATTATAAATGACGGTTTTATTTAGGGCTGCATTTGACATATTTGGTTTTATTTATGGGCAGTCCTAATTGTTGTGACCTTTTATCGATTTTTATAATTGTCGTTTTATTTATATTGCTTTTATTTTGTTTGTTATAATCATTTTATGTATATTGTAAGCTGCCTTAAGTTCCATAAAGGAGAACAGCAGCTGATAAATATTTTAAATTAATAAATCTATAGAAAAGGCTAGGATACAGAGATGCCAAGTTGGATAGTATAAAAGGTTAACACAAACATGACAGAGAATGTTTTTATCATAAAGAGGAGTCCTAAGCAGTTCTGCTCAGAATCTTACTCAGGTCTACTCAGTGATGATGGAACTGTTAGTATCTTACTACTGCTTAAATGAAAGGCAAAAACAGGTTTTAAGACAAATACATGCTCACTAGTTGGACAAACTGGAAATACTAATATTTAAAGGGCGTAGGCAGTTGTGGAACAACTGTCACAAAATTTAGAAGAAACCTAGATAAACCAAAGCCTATACTTTCCCCTGTGTGTTCAGCAGATACCAATGAAGTTTATACTTCTATACGTAAACCTGGAATCAAAGAATTTATGCAGCCAAAATGAACAGCAACCTTGAGATGAAGAGTAACATTCCACACTTCATTTTCTACTTACAGTTATTTAGCTGCACACAGAATAGCAATGTACATCCACTAGAATCAGGAACTACTTCAGTGAAGTAAGGGGTGTTATTTCGGAAAAGGAGAGATTTCTCTAAACACACCCGACTCACAGCCCTAAACAGAAAACAGAAGCAAGCAAAATCACCATGCAGAAGGCGGAGCATGATATAGTAGCTAAAAATATCTCGTCAACAATATATTCACAACAATTACTATCAAACACACATCGCTAACTGCATGGATTATTGATCTGCCATGTCACTGGCACACAACAAAGAATAGATTATGTTTTGTTAGAGATCTGTTCTTCCTACTCCAACTTTGTATTGATTTTGTGGCAGAGTAGTCAAAAGTATCAAAGCTCTGTGAATCTGTTTAATCTTGGATTCACACTCAAGAAAAAAGTTAACAGCAATTTCTATAATCTTTCAGGCTCCAATTTTAAAAATGCACAAAGATATGCACAGCTTCTTGGAACATGTAAAGCTGCCTTATGTTCTCTCAGACCACTGATCTAGCTAATTCAGTATTGTTCCCCAGAGAGCACTGCGATCAGGATCCCAAAATCATCTGGATCTACCTGGCCCAAAGGAAGTCAAGTTGATGGCAACTAGGACCAGGGCTTTCTTGTTTGTAGCTCCGTCCTATTGGAACGAGCTTCCTGCAAAGATCAGGGCCCCGTGGGACCTTTCACAGTTCCGCAGGGCCGTGAAAACAGAGCTTTTTAGGCAGGCATTCCGTTAGGAGCGGCATCTTACCAGCAGCGCCCTGTGTGAACTCTGATCCAACATGACTTAGCATGGTGGCACCGCTGAATGTGTCCTTAAACTGCACTTTATTTTTATCGCCATCGAAGTGATGTTTTAAATTGATTTGTCTGTGTTTTAAATTATTTATTCTATTTTATCAATTGTAAAATGTATACTGTATCAGCTTTGTGGAAGCCGCCCTGAGCCCGCCTTGGCAGGGTGGGCGGGGTAAGAGTTAAATAAATTAATTTTAAAAATAAATTCATTCTGAATGGTAGCTCATTCCCACCAACCTATTATGGACTGAATCTCAGGATTTCTGCAAGCAAAGTATGTGCAATCCTGGTGAGCTGCAGTTTGTCTCCCTCTCTCCCCCTCTCCTTCTCTCCTACACACACAAGAAAACAAAAGGCTAGTTTAATGTTGGCCCAAACAGAGGCTCTGAAAATCCTTTTCTCCCTGCTCAAATCATTGAAGGATAAGATACATAAAGGGGTCAAACTGGACCTTTTCATATAATTCTGCCTACAAGATCTGTCCAAAGTAACAAGAGCAGGGCACGAGTACAGCCTAGGAGGCACTTGTGGGCTTGCAAGGTGGAGAATACTAAAATTCACAAGATTATTCCCCCCCCCCCAATCTTTCTTCCTAAATTAGCAAGATGTGTCCAAATCTCAAATGCCACAAACCAGTCCAGAGTCTCCACTACCTCTCACTGGTAATAATTAGGCTGGCTTCTTAAACAAGCTT